GCTCCTGCAGCCGGGGCGGGCCGGGGAGGAGCGGCCGGCCTGGGCCGCAGAGGCGCCGCGCTGAGAGCCGTCCTCCTGCCGCCTCGCAGGCCGCCTGCACGGGCGCAGGATGACCCCGACGCAGTGGGACTTCCCGGTGGAGCTGTGCTGCCGGCCCATGGCGTTTGTCACCCTCACCGGCTTGGACGTGGTGTACAACGCCGTGCACCGGGCCGTGTGGGACGCCTTCTGCGCCAATCGGAGAGCCGACCGCGTCCCCATCTCCTTCAAAGTGCTCCCCGGCGACCACGAGTACCCTAAGTGCAGGACGAAGGTAGCGAGCGGCGTGTGTCCCAGCTGCTCCCCGTCCTGGCGGGCCCGGCCCCTCACGGAGTTAAGCTTCTGCCCGCGCAGCGAAAGCCCGCGGCAGGCCCGGGGGGGATGTGGGAGCTGGTGTCTCCTGAGGGAAAGGGCTGTAGCGAGGGGCTGGGCTGAGCTGCCTGGCTCGCAGGCAGCTGAGCAGCACTGGCACTGCTTAACGCTCAGCTAGCCTTCTGTCTCTTCCCCCGCTGTTGGACGGGAAGCGTGGGAGCTGGAAACCTGAGAAAAAAAATGTCAGGACTAAGGGGAAGCCAAGGGCGTCGTGCTGGGGTGTTAGGGATGCACAGGAAAACAGGGTGCCTTAGCGCATAAGCCAGAAGCAGAGAAAGCCGATATGATTTCCTTTGTAAAGTACTTGCTGTTCATTTACTCGGCGTTAAGGTATGCTTGTAAAACTTGAGCTTTAATGAAACTCAAAGTTTAATTCTGGAAAAACTATATACGTGAAATTAATGTATTCTGAAAAAGCATAAAGCCTTTAAATGAAGTGCAGCAGAAGAAATATCTCTGCTCTGCTTTCTGCTTTGCAGTGGCAGTTAAGAAGCAATGTCAATGGGTTTAACTCTTGGAAAACTACATAATTCTGTGATACTGGCAAAGAGCAAGAATCCTAACTGGTTTTGTCCTGGCTCTGTTTGGGAGTCCCCTTTTAAACTGAGCCTAATATTTCATGAAAGTGTGTGAAGCATGCTTCTGAATTTGACCCTTTTCTCCAGTTATTCTTTGGAGAAACAGTTGGAATATGTTCTTTGTTGCTGCTATCTCAGACATTAGGCCCTGGATGCTAGGTAAGGAGGGGTATGACGTAATAGGAAGCAAAAGCTTGAGGGGAAGAATGTTAAAAGAAAGATGAGAAACATTTTCAAGTGATAAGAATGTAGAGGCAATTCCCTTTCTCCTGCTATAGATGCCTGTAACTGGATTTGGTAGCTTGCTTTAATAGCCTCAATATTTTCAGAGGACATCCTATGAGTGGTATATTCCAAAAGGAATCCTGAAGACTGGTTGGATGAACAAACACCTGAATTTGGTTCCAGCACTTGTGGTGGTGTTCTATGAACTAGACTGGGATGAGCCACAATGGAAAGAGAAACAGTCAGAATGTGCTACTCGAGTTGAAATTGTCAGGTAGAGTTTTTTCACTTGGTTTGTAATGTACTACAAGCTAATGGTAAACCTTGATGCTATGCTGTGTTGTTTTTATTTTAGGCAAAGTTTGCAGGGAAGAAGTACGAAAGTTGCTGTGGTTTTGATTCAGAAAAAAACACCATTACCTCCAGGTACTAGAAAACTGTGCACAGTTCTGGTGATACCATTTTTCAGAAAGTCTGATGGACTGAGCTGACTGACATTTGTCCCATTATCTGCAGTTTTTAATCTGATGTCATCTACATACATTAAATGCATTGTGGCTCCAGGAAGGTGTACAGAGGGAAAGAGTGCTCAGGGCAGTTGACTCTAAACATTTGATACTTTTATCCTTAACTTTTCCCGCTTAAGTCCAAGTCCATCTTTTGATACACAGTACTAAAAAGGGTTTGCTAGTCTATTACATGTGAGATGCCTCCTTGTAAGCAAGTTGCATTTTAAACCTTGTTTGAGATAAGAAAAGCTGTAAAAGCAATGAGAATGTTGAGGAAGGATATTTGGTACCTATGGAAGCTGTTGAGTTTAGCTTAGTTTTAATCAATAAAATTTTGGAGTCAACTGGAGATGTGAACTGTTTTAACGTGGTATTAACCTTAGGTTTCTGTAGAGCTGCTGCTTCAGCTGTAGCTGCATGCTCTCTAGTGTCTGGCAAACCACTTTTTGGGGTTTTCTTGGTTTTTTTTTCTACCTGCTTTTTAAGTTTGTCTTTTCTAGATGCTATTTATATTTCTGAAGACATGGGATATTTAATTCTTGAGAGAGATAAAAAACTTACTTGTAGGTTAATGATAGCTAAGCCACTCCTAGAAATTTTCTGCAATGTGTTCTGCTGGATGAAGCATGTTGTACTATGAAAGAAGAAAGAATGTAGTTTTAGTTTTATATGTAATAGATTTGTCCATACCTGTACTGGTCAGACTTTTAGAGCTAGTTAGACATTGCAGCACTGCATACTGCTTACTTGTGCTTTCCTTGACTTCACTAGGGGAAGATGTTATTGCATCAGAGAGGGCAGCAGCTTTATGTTGTGCTTGTGACCTTTCTGGAAAATCCCTCTTTGTACTTCCACACACTGATCATCTTGTTGGTTATATTATAAGGTAAGTGACTGTAAAACGCTGGTTTGCTCTGTTTGCTAATTGATGTTTTGCTCTGTTTGCTGATCATGGGTTGGTTTTTGATACCAGGCCTGCTGGCAACAGATGGGGTCCACCTGTCTCCATGGGGAAAAGGATCCTTGCACAAGAGTTAGTAGGGCTCATTGTAAGAGCTTTAAACTAGACTCAAAAGGGGAAAGTGATAAGAAATAAGGCTCAATAGAGATAGGCCTGGGAGTAGCACACCAGTGTTTGAGGGATGGTGTGCTAGGTAGGTCCTTCAGTCTGCCATCTCAGTGGAGGTAGGGGATGGAGATCCATGCAGTAGCAGACGTAAGGGTTGTTGATGTGTTAGAAACCATGGAAGTGTCTGAGAATGATCACATAGGAATTGGGGCTTCTCAACTAAAAAGGTGACGGGATCAGTAGCCCAGCTGAAGTGCGTCTATGCCAATGCATTCAGCATGTGCAACAAACAAGAGGAGCTGGAAGCCATTGTGCAGCAGGAAAACTATGACATAGTTGCCATCACAGAAAATGGTCAAATGACTTGCACAACTGGAGTGCTGTAATGGATGGCTATAAAATCTTCAGAAGGAATAGGCAAGGAAGGTGGAGTAGCCCTTTATGTTAGGGGGTGTGCTGGTTGTCTAGAGTTTGACAATGGTGACGATTGGGTTGAGTGTTTAATGGGTAAGTATCTGGGGGAAGGCCAACAAGGCAGATATCATGGCTGGGAGTCTGTTATAGACCACCCAACCAGGATGAAGAGGCAGATGAAATATTCTATAGGCAGCTGGGAGAAATCTCACGATCAGTAGCCCTTGTTCATGTGGGGGACTTCAACTTACCAGATGTCTGCTGGAAATACAATACAACAGAGAGGAAACAGTTTAGGAGGTTCCTGGAGTGTGTGTAAGATAACTTTCTGACACAGCTGGTGAGTGAGCCAGCTAGGGAAGGCACCCCACTGGACCTGTTGTTTGTGAACAGAGAAGGACTTGTGGGTGACGTGATGGTTGGAGGCAGTCCTGGGCATATTTATCATTAAATGGTGGGCTTTGATTATTGGAGAGGTAAGGAGGGGGCTTAGCAGGACTGCTACCTTGGACTTCTGGAGGGCAGACTGGGGCCTGTTTAGGAGACTGATTGACCATGTCCCTTGGGAGGCAGTCCTGAAGGGCAAAGGAGTCCAGGAAGGCTGCACATTCTTCAAGAAGGAAATCTTAAATGTGCAGGAGCAGGCCTTCCCTATGTGCCAGAAGATGAGCTGCTGAAGACTGGCCTGGCTGAACAGAGAGCTTTGGCTGGAACTCAGGAAAAAAAGGAGAGTTTATGACCTTTGGAAGAAGGATCAGGCAACTCAGGACTACAGGATGTTGTGAGGTTATGCAGGGAGAAAATTAGCAGGGCCAAAGCCCAGCTAGAACTTAATCTGGCTACTGCTGTAACAGACAATTAAAAATTACGTTAGTAACAGAAGGAGGGCTAAAGAGAATCTCCATCCTTTATTGGATTCAAGGGGAAAGGTAGTGACAAAGGATAAGGAAAAGGCTGAGGTACTTAATGACCTCTTTTCCTTGGTCTTTAATACTAAGACCACTTGTTTTCTGGGTACCCAGACCCTGAGCTGAAAGATGGGAATGGGGAGCAGAATGAAGCCCCCGTAATTCAAGGGGAAATGGTTAGTGACCTGCTCCATCACTTAGACACACACATTTATGGGGCTGGATGGGAACCACGCAAAGGTACTGAGGGAGCTGGCAGAAGTGCTCACCAAGCCACTTTCCATCATTTATCAGCCTTCCTGGCTAACTGGGGAGGTCCCAAATGACTGGAAATTAGCAAATGTGATGCCCATCTACAAGAAGGGCTAGAAGGAGGATCTGGGGAACTACAGGCCTGTCAGCCTGACATCAGTGCTGGGGAAGGTTATAGAGCAGATCATCCTGAGTGCCATCATATGGCATGTACAGGACAACCAGGTGATCAGGTCCAGTCAGCACAGGTTTATGAAAGGCAGGTCCTGCTTGGCTTACCTCATCTCGTTCTGTGACAAGGTGACCCACTTAGTGGATGAGGGAAAGGCTGTGGATGTTTTCTACCTAGATTTAGTAAAGCCTTTGACACCGTTTCCCACAGCATTCTCCTGGAGAACTGTCTCCTTATGGCTTGGACAGGTGTACTCTTTGCTGGGTAAAAAAACTAGCTATATGGCTGAGCCCAAAGAGTTGTGAATGGAGTTAAATCCAGTTGACAGCTGGTCACAAGTGGCTGCCAGGGCTCAGTACTAGGGCCAGTTCTCTTTAGTGTATTTATCGATGATCTAGATGAGGGGATCGAGTGCACCCTCAGTCAGTTTGCAGATGACACCCAGTTGGGTGGGAGTGTTGATCTGCTCGAGGGTAGGGAGGCTCTGCAGAGAGACCTGGACAGGCTGGAGCCATGGGCTGAGGCCAACTGGAGGAGTTTCAATGAGGCCAAATGCCGGGGGCTGCCCTTGGGCCACAACAACCCCCAGCAGCGCTACAGGCTTGGGGAGGAGTGGCTGGAGAGCTGCCAGTCAGAGAGGGGCCTGGGGGTGCTGATTGACAGCTGGCTGAACAGGAGCCAGCAGTGTGCCCAGGGGACCAAGAAGGCCAGTGACATCCTGGTTTGTATCAGAAATAGTGTGACCAGCAGGACTAGGGAAGTGATGATCCACCTGTACTCACTCAGTGCTGGGTGAGGCTGACCTCAAGTACTGTCTTTGGTTTTGGGCCCCTCACTACAGGGAAGACACTGAGGTGCTGGAGTGTGTCCAAAGAGCAACGAGGCTGGTGCAGGGTCTAGAGCACAAGTCTTATGAGGAGCAGCTGAGGGAACTGGGGTTGTGTAGTTTGGAGAGAAGGAGTCTGAGGGGAGACCTCGCTGCTCTCTACAACTACCTGAGAAGAAGTTGTAGCTATTTTCCCAAGTATTCGTTACGCTAAAGAGGGAATCTTTACTGCATGTTAACTAGTGTAAGCCTTTGCAAACTGCTTGTAGTTGTATTTTGATATGAAATTTGCAACTGTCTCTGAGTTTGAAGATAAGGCTATATCATTAGTGATTAATAGCTCTTCATGCACATCTAAAAATTAATAAATAAATGTTTGAGCATATGATCATGTTAGAATTCCTGGTATCAAATCTTTCTTTTAACATTTTAAATTGAGATTTCATAGTAGTGAAAAAGAATATTGGGGTTTTTTATGCCTTGGACTGGATTGCCTTTTCTTATACAGCCACAATATGAAATAAGTATGATAGGTAGACAATTTATCTTCTTTTTGTGACTGAACTCATTGTTAGCAATTTCTGCCCATTGGTCAGCCCCATTGTTTTTGTCACTATCCTCTGTTGCATGGCAAGCAGAACAGAAGTTGTGATCTGCCTTGGTCAAATATTTCTTCTTGGCCAAATCACAGAACTGGTACTTCATCCTTTATTTCCAGTGTGTGTCAGTGCTATTGAATGTATTCCTCTTCTGGATTCTGGTCTTGCTGTAGTTGATTTTACTACTTATAATTTGATCGTACAATGTATGCTTAGCTCCCCCTCCACCTCATACTGTATTCAGTGTTCTGGGCCTCTTGGTCTTTCTCTTCTCACCTTGTGATTTGCCATTGGGCTGTTTGTCTTGCAAACACAAGTTCAACTGTTACCTCTGCAACGCTGGTAGCTGCTGATGTTTGGACAGAATGATGAAACCTAGTCTGTGCCCTCATAATTTTATTCTTAGTTTTTCCCTTCCCACTCCTTCCCCCACGGTCCAACAAATAAGATCTTGACCTGTTCAGACGGATCCCAGGAGCCTCAGCAATGTTTGCTTGCTTTGTCTGAGGCATCTCTCCAATTTCTGTTGCCTTGCAAAATCTGAACAGCTTATCCTCAGATTTTTTTAATGTTAAATACTAGAGATTGTTGTATGAGAAATCAATATGTGAAGCTATTGAGCCTACTTGTTCTACTTCTTTCTACCCCTGTATGAGATCTTTCTTGAAGAGTTTTTGTCTGCAGAATTACTCCGGGGGGTAACTTACAGAAGAGTTTGGTAACACCTCAAGCTATTTTGCCAACCCTAAAATAAGCATGATTAGAAGTAACTTACTCTGAAAAACTTCAGAATTTCTTTGTATGTGGGAGAAACTTAGTGAAATTTACAAGCAACTTCCTTGTTTCCAGGTTGGAAAATGCTTTCTATGAGCATGCACAGACTTACTATTATACAGAAATACGGAGAGTTAAATCTCATAAGGAGTTCTTGAACAAAACCACTCATCAGGTAATGTTACCCTATTTTTTTAAAATACTCTGTAAGTCATATTGTATGTTAAAACATGAAAATTAAGATTGATTGTTCTTAAACATTTTTATTCTCTCGCTTCTAACTTGAGATGCCTTCTCTTGGTATGGAAAGTAAGTCTGGTTTGATTTTCTGCAACTTAAACTTTGATTTTGATTGGTTTAGTTCTTAGGTTTATTGTTTTCCTCACATATTCCTCAGAGGAAGAGCTGCAGCCCAAAAATGAAGTTCTCTGACTTTAAAAAAAAAATAAAATAATTTCTCTATATGGTTTAACCTATTTGAATGTAGTATCTTGACAATTTGTGGGAAGTGCTTCCCTTAGACATTTTGTACTTAAAAGTTGCACTTGATTTGGCTTTTTAACTTTTGCTTTTCAAATTGTTAAATATCAGACACACAACATTCTGTTGTGATTGCCAGCTTCTGTCTCTTGGAAGATCGGATCCAAGCAGTGAGCTCCAAACCAATAATCAACACTACTGGTGTAGAAAGTTTTGGGGTGTTACAAAGTCTCTTGCCTGTTCCAGAGTAAAAGGCTTGGAACGCATTAAATCTGCTGAAAGATCACTGCTGCGTCATGGTGGCCGAGAGAACTATTAGGAAACAGTTCATAGTCAGTTTTTCAAGTCAACTGCTATATTATGTAAACCTCTGAAATTATCACCTGTATCTGATTTGTAGGTAACAGGTATGTTTGGATGTTTGTGAATGATGGACACTGGTTGTGTTTTGCAGCTTTTATTTGTTAGACACCAGTTCAAAATAGCATTCTTCAGTGAGCTGAAACAGGATACGCAGAATGCTCTCAAGTAAGACTCATGTAATCTTCCCCCACCTTATCTACCCAAATCACTGCTAAGCTATAGACTATGATAAATATTTTCCCAAATGTAAAATTATTTAAACATGTGTGTAAGGGGAGAGTTCTTCTCTGGGAAGAACACTCTGATTAGAAGGCTGTCTTCTGCTATTGGCAATCCTGTTCTTAAAATGTGTTATCTTGTATGATTTAACTCTAATTCAAGTATTTCTGCTTAGAAATTACAGAACTGCCTATAATCTTGTACATGAATTGAGGGCTCATGAAACAAACATGCTGGAAATAAAGACCATGGCAGGATTTATAAACTACAAGGTAACAAGTGTTGACAACCTTTACGTAAAAAAAAAGAAAAAAGTTGATGCATCTTTAATGTGTAAAGGTTTAAATGTCCATTTTATACTGTTTTTAAAGAGATGAATTAGAAACAGCTATCAGTGAAATACCAATTACACTCAGACTTGGGAAGACTTCTGAACTCTTTAAGAACCATATTTTAGGTGCTTTTAGGTAAAACAAAAATATCCCACCATTTACAACAATTCTGGAGTTGGAGGTTCCATTTGCAGACTGCAGGCTTCAAAGATAATGATTTTCCTAGTGGCTTTGCAGTTCTGTCTTGAATTTGACCTCTTCAGAAATACATAAAATCAGTTTGGTTTTTTTGAGTGGCATTTTTGGGCGTTATTTGAAAGCTAATCATTAGCAGCCTAACAGTTATTTTTTCCTCTTATTTTGATTTCTTCTAGATCTGTCGCCTCTGTTTTCAGCATAATACTCCACTGGATGCAATTGCTCAGTTCAGGAAACATATTGACTTGTGCAAGAAAAAAATAGGAAGTGCAGAACTGGCTTTTGAGCATGCTGCCTGGATGTCTAAACAGTATGCTTTTGCTTAGTAATGTTTCTGGTTTAGTCCTTATATAACCTCATGGAGTTCACTGTTTTGCTTGTCTAGGCAAGATACAAATTCTGAGCTCTTTATCTAAGAGAGAGGTACACTAGATCATAAAAACTGTATGCTGTTACTCTGTTTTGCATTGATTATCGACCACTTTTCTCTGGGAATGAACAGTGTCTGACACATATGCAGCCATTGAACTTTAATGCAAAAGTTCAGAGAGGTATCATTTGTCTTAAGACTAATGAGAACTTTTAATTGAAGTGTACCTTTCAGTTCAAATTACTGTTCTGTACAAAATCTCAGTTACGAATTTTTTAAATAGGTTTCAGGCTTTTGGTGACTTGTTTGATGAAGCAATTAAGCTGGGATTGACAGCAATTCAAACTCAGAATCCAGGTTTCTACTACCAGCAGGCAGCCTACTATGCACAGGAACGGAAACAACTAGCAAGTATGCTTTGTAACCATGATGTAAGTTGGGAGGGGAGAAGGTACTTTGCAAGTAACCAGTCAGTAAAATAGCTAATGTTTTACTCTCAAATGGTAGTGGAATAATCTGTAATATTTGTAAATGAAATCCAAGGAAAGGATATGTGTTTTTATGATGATTACTAATGTTACAAGTGTTTGCTATCATAAAATCACAGAATGGTTTGGGTTGGAAGGGACATTAAAAATCATCTGGTTCCAACCCCCCTGCCATGGGCAGGGACACCTTCCACTAGCCCAGGTTGCTCAAAGCCCCGTCCAACCTGGCCTCGAACACTGCCACAGCTTCTCTGGGCAACCTGTGCCAGTGTCTCACTACCCTCACATAAAGAATTTCTTCCTTATACCTAATCTAAATCTGCCCTCTTTTAGTTTTAAACCATTACCCCTCATCCCATCACTATGCTCCCTGAGAAAGAGTCCCTTCCCATCTTTCCTGTAGGCCCCCTTTCAGTACTGGAAGCCACTATAATGTGTCCCTGGAGCCTTCTCTTCTCCAGGCTGAACAACCCCAACTCTCTCAGCCTGTCTTCACAGGGGAGGTGCTCCAGCCCCCTGATCATCGTCGTGGCATCCTCTGGACCTGCTTGAGCAGGTCTGTGCCCTTCTCATGTTGGGGGCCACAGAGCTGGACACAGCACTGCAGGTGGGGTTTCATGAGAGTGGAGTAGAGGGGGAGAATTACCTCCCCTGACCTGCTGGCTACACTTCTCTTGGTGCAGCCCAGGATACAGTTGGCTTTCTGGGCTGTGAGTGCAAATTGCTGGCTCATCATCAGTTTTCCATTCACTAATAGCCCCAAGTACTTCTCCTCTGGGCTGCTCTGAATCCAGTTCTGTATTGGAAAAGTTACTCCAGAACAGATGTGTTGTTAGTAATAAAATAAACACTAGTTCTGACACTTAAAAGATAATTATAAAAAAGTAGTATAGTTTCTACATCTGTGGATACTTGAAAACTTCCTGTTTTATTTTTCTGGTCTATTTCTCTATACATGCACTGTATCTGGTGACTTGCAGGAAGCAGAGAAGCAAGACCATTAGAGTCTGTATGGGTGGTTGGTGTTGTTTTGGGGGGGATTGACACTTGTCTGGCAGAAAGGCTTGTATGGAGAATCTGTAGTTGATTAATCATACATGCTAATTACATGTAGCTGCTCTCCAACTGTCATGTCCCCATTATTTAAAAACATTCCTGTCGATGCTATTTATTTGTTGTTCTTGGATCATCTTGTTAGGAGCTAATTTTAAAAATTATTATCCAGTTATTCTTTAACAATATTTGAGATAAATGAAGGTGTATGAAGCAGGATGTCAGACTGAATGAGAAGTGTTTAAATGTTTGGGTTTCCTGAAGTACTATTTTTATACAGGTGACCAGAAAGGTTATATGTTTTAAAGTAAATTTCTTCTTTTATTTGCATGTGTATTGGAGCATCAAATAGCTTTTAATGCTTTAAAATGAAACATGAATCATTTTTTATTAATATATTTGCTGAATTTACAGTCCTCTGTGATATACCCCAATCCGGATCCCCTGGAAACACAGACTGGAGTGCTTGACTTCTATGGGCAAAGACCATGGCGGCAGGGAATATTAAGTACGTCTCTGTCTTGTATTTGTGGAGTTTGGACAAACTTCTTCAGCTGGTGATGCTGCCAGCTGACTTAATGGGCATCAGCATGTAATCTCTTCCACTGAGACAGACTCAGGGCTGGGACCACAGTCTTGATAGTTGGTGGTATGACTTGAACAGATGTTGACTGGAAGTGCAGAAAGTGTGTTTGATATCTACAACAAATAGAAAAAGGAACTTCAGGTTTATGCAGGATCAGGTCTTCAGCAAAGAAGTAGGCTGTACTGAAGCTCTGCTGCTGCTGCTGCTTTGTTTCTATTGTTGACTCAGCTACCTGTAATCAGTGTGCTGCAGGAATGTTTGACTGCAGTGAAATGCTCTCCGGGGAAGAGAAGTTGGAGAACTTGATGCAGCAAAAATAACGAAGAACCTAAATGTGACTGTTACAAATTCATCTTGCCATCCATAGTGTATCTTGTCAACTGTAGACAGGAACTCATAACCTCTCTTTTTTTTTTGAAAAAGTTTTTTGGGTTTTGAAACAGATTGAGAGGATGTGATCTCTGAAATTAGATTTTAGCCTAAGAAGGGAATTTGTGGTTTTACTATTAAGGAGGATGTTTTCTCAGAAATTTAGACTTTGAATGTACAGCTTTGAGCTATGTATGAATATACCTGCAGTTCTGAGATCTTCATTGTTGACTGTGGGTTTACTTCCCTTTCTTCCTCTCTATTTGGTCTCCTTTATTCTCTGCATATTCTTTGGGATTTACCACTTTATCACTGCCCTCTTTTAAAGACTTTATTTCATTTACTGTAAATACAGTACTGTCTAACCTCTTTTATCTTCAAATATTACTGTTTTAAAATTAGCTAGAATCTACTGCCAAGGTTAAATAGTTTAAGATGAAGAGAAACTTCACTTGTTATATATATTCAGTTTTTTTGGTTCCAGTAAGAGTTTATAGTCTTTTAAAGTCCTGTATAGTTCTTCATATGTTGGCATTCTCTACTGCTAGAGGAACATAAGCTTGAAACCTTACTTGAGCTTAGATAGGAAAAGGGCTACAAATTTGTCTTAACATACGTGCTTTAAATGTTAATAGATGCAGTCTAAAGACTAGGTTGTCTTACTGTAGCTTGCTATTTTTGAGTAGCTCCAGACACATACTTTTAAACAAAAGGCAAGATATTTTTCCAGAATTTTGCTTCTAGAATTCCTCTAGAACATCCTCTAGGAGGATGGATGAGATCTTAAAGTGATACATCCGTCTGCTAGGTAAAAGAATGGGAATTTGAGCATGCTTCAGTTGGAGCTTGCATTGCATGTAACTCACTACATAAGTAACTCCCTTTTGGGTCTGGACAAAATTCCAACTTCATGGATTTTTCACTGTCTTATGCAGGCTTTGATCTTTCTGATCCTGAAAAGGAGAAGATGGGGATTTTATCCCTACAGTTGAAAGAGAAAAATGTCCTTCACTCGGTAAGTTTTATTCTGAAAAAACCCACCAAAACAAAACAACTGTTTTCCTACATTATCCTAATGTTTGCATACATAATGATATCAGTAATGGTCTTATCTATTAGGAGCTAATAATCACTTTGTTGAGTAATGCTGTCGCGCAGTTCAAGAAATACAAATGTCCAAGAATGAAAAGTCACTTGAGTGAGTATAGATAATCAGATGCATTTTTTTAAAAAATTAATTTTGCAAAGGCTTTTGGTATTGATCTGGAACACTTTTTTTTTTTTTTTTTTTTTTTTTTTTTTTTTTAATCAGTGGTTCAGATGGGAGAAGAATATTACTACGCTAAAGATTATGCCAAAGCTTTGAAGTGAGTATCATCCATGACTGCTGCTTTTACATGCTAATCTTCTCACTAAGGCCCCATGTTTTATTGCTATGAAATAATGTTGGAAGGTCATCTAAGATGCTCCTTTCCTTGTACCTGGATTTGATTGAAGCATAAGCTTTGGAGTCTATGAAGTCCGTTTATATTAAAAAAAGCAAAACAGATATGATGAGTCAGTTATTAGAGTAAAAAAACTTCTTGCTGTAAGCTGTTGTGGGGATTTGCCTTATTAGGCAAATATTTCTAGCTCACTGATTGAATGCGTCTGTCTCTTTCTTCCAGAAATGATTTCTGAAACTTGCCTGCTACTGCAATGAGAATATCGTTACATTTTATTACAGAATTTTTAGTGACAAAATTCAAAAAACATGGAAATGCAGCTGAATTTAATTTTTGCTTATATTATCAGCAATTTAGCAAAACGAATTATTTTTATTGGTGTCATTAATAGCAGAAAACTACTACAGAGCTAGGAAAGCATAGTGCTGAAGTACAGCTACCATCTTTTCTGCTTAATTTTTCTGTATGTTTAAGTGGAAACGAAGGTCATGTTAAGTAGGAGTCCCACAGTTTTTTCATTAATTAGATTTCAAAGATCACATGTTATAAAGGGAGCGTGTTTGAGGTAGGAGAGCTGTGTTTACTGTTATTACTAGGTTACTGGAAGCTACATGGAGCAGAGGATAAGCAGATCAGTTGGTACCAAGACTAATTTTTATACGAATGACCATTTTTTATTTTTGTTTAGATAGTTTTGGGGTTTTTTCTCATCTTGACCCGGTGAACAGAGTTTAAAAAAATTAACTTCTCTGCTTTTCTAGTAATAGTAAACATTGCTCAGTATTAAAAACATTAAGGTGTGCAGTTTTGCTTGATAAAGATTGTTGCATGTGTTTGTAAATCTTCAAAACCTCTGAATGGAGCAGAGAGGATAGGAGGTAGGAGGGAAAAGAAACACCTCGCTTAAGGAACATTAAAATTCTTCAGTGTGGAAAGGGACTTTATGTGGGGCTTTGGTTTAGTTTTTCTTAAAACTTACCACATACTCAAAGCATATTTTTAATGCAATGCTGGATTAAGAGTATTCTGTCCAGTTGCTGTTTTTCTAGTTCTTTATGCAAAGATGGGTGAGTTTTCCTGTTGTTCTCTTGTGAAAATTGTTCTGGCCTGAAATAGAAAATTCATGAGATAAATGTGTTTCTTTACAATAATTTCATGCTGTTTTCAGTAAATCATTGCCATGTATAAACAGCAGGTTTGATTTTTTAAACTAGCATTTGTACTGGTGAGGATGAATTTTGTATTAATGATGCCAAATAAATGTAAGCTTTTAAAAAATACTGGTGTGTGTATAAATTGTTTTTCTCTCAATTTTACTGTATTGCAGGCTCTTGGATTATGTTATGTGTGAATATCGCAGTGAAGGATGGTGGACTCTTCTCACTTCCATATTGACGACAGCTCTCAAGTGTTCATATCTGATGGCCCAGCTAAAAGATTATATAACGTACTCTTTAGAACTACTTGGTAGAGGTATTCTTTTAAGGAAAATAGCCTATACAGATAAATTAAGTACATGTATCTGAAAATCTGACAAATCAGTCACAGTGTTTACAGTACGTCAAATTTAACTACAAAATAACTGTATACCTTTACTGAATTTTTACTACCGTGTGTCATATGCTGGAAGGTGAATTTTCTTGCTTTTCTATTATAAAGTTCCTTGCATTCAAATAGACTGTGTCAGGATATCTGGGGCACAGAGCTTCATTTGAGACTGTTAAAATATTGAAAAGAAGCTTCCTAAGCTTTGGGTTCAGGAAAGAACTGTAATATACCTAAAGGGGAAGAACATTTTTCCTAGTAAGTAACAAGGCTAGCACCATTTTCCTGGACTTTAAAATCCCAATTGGCTTCTCTCAGACTTATACTAGAACTCTGCTGATGAAATATGCATGTGGTATCTTTTAGGGAAAAGTGACATAGGGTGGCAAGCACTCTGCTTCTTATAACATCTGTTACTTACATTGCAGAAATAATCCTTTTGTGCCCTAAATTGCTAACTACTTTACCACTACTAGGATAGGTATGGTAAAAATGGGTTTGCATCTTATTTTAGCTAGCCAGGCTACTCTGCTTTGTATGAAAGCATAGCCAGTGAGAAAACCCCACCTTTCTTCATCTCCAAGAGAAGAGTGCTTATTTTAATTAGTCCTTTTTTCTTCCTGTCACTTTCTCTAGTTATTGTTTCTAATATTATTTGAGGTTGGCACTTTGAATGTTCCAGACTTTTCTACTGTTTCTACGATTTTTAAACGTAAATAGCAAGAAGGTGTAGGTGTTACTTTGTTGGGGTTTTCCTCCGATAAATTGTGAAACTCTTGTCTAACTGGAAAATACTTGGTTAGACAAGCATTTCAAATATTTTACTTAGTTCCAGTGGAAGTAAGAGGAAACAAAATGGGAGAAGTCCTGAAAAGTTAATGAATTGTTCATTACTGGTAGATGGATGTTAGAAATTTTTTCCCCCAGAAGGTGTCTTTTGAAAGATGCAATCTAATTGAAAGATTTATTCTTTAAAAAAAAAAAAGAGGACTTGTTTCTGTCTTACAATTTTTGTTTGTTCTGTTTGCTAGCATCTACTCTTAAAGAAGATCAGAAGTCTCGAATAGAAAAAAATCTGATAAAAGTTCTAATGGTAAGTGGCAGAATTCCTGTTATCCTTTTAAATAATCTTGAGTGGTCATTGTTTAGTAACCTTCTTTTATTGTTATTTATGATCTTCTATCTGGATACAGAATGAAAGCCCTGATCCTGAACCTGATTGTGACACTGCTGCTGTGAAAGCATCACAAAAATTGTGGGCTGACCGTGTTTCCTTGGCAGGCAGTAATGTTTTTACAATAGAAGTCCAAGATTTTATACCATTTGGTAAGTAAGAAAGTAAATTTACATGAGATTATAAATTTGATGTAGTTATAGCTTGAAAATAGCTAATTAGGAGAAAATATAAAATGTGTATTAAAGCAAGCAACACTGAAGCTCTCATTTCATCACTGCTTTGTTCTTCATCTAAATTAGTAAGATAAGAAATTGTGAGAGAAGCCAGTGATCTCTTATCCTCAGTATGGATTACTAAAGGAAAATCCTTTGAGCATCATGTCTGAGGGGGGGAAAAAACCTCTGAACTTCCAGCTGAGGCTGCCTTTAAACATTGTAGAAGTAGTAAACCCTTGCTTTTTGAAAGACAACAGTGTGGCAGAAGTGCTTTGAATTATGATTCTGAGGAAAGAGGGCAGATGTGGGCAAAGTAATACTCCCTGTAGAAAGGGGGATGTGAGTGGGCATTTCCTGCAGAAGTGTGTCTAAATGAACAGGATTATTAAGTGTCACAGCTTTCTGTGACGGTGTTAGTAGCCAAATTTGTCCCACATACATGCATCCAAAGTGTGAAGAGTATACAGAAAACAATCCTTACCACAATTATTCAGAGAGTGGAATTTAATGTCGTAATTTGTGTTTAACACTTGCTTCTTGGTGGGGGTTTTCTTGTTTTTGTTTTTTTAATTCCAGTGCAGTGCAAAGCAAAATTTCTTGCTCCTAGTTTTCATGTTGATGTTCCTGTGCAGTTTGATGTATACTTGAGAGCTGATTGTCCTCATCCTATCAGGTTTTCTAAGCTCTGCATCAGTTTCAATAATCAGGTAACTATGTTCTATCTATCTATGATCTAGTGACAGAAGCATATAATAAGAATAGAATAATATTTATTAGTGTTTCTGAACATAAAAATTCAAAAGTTCTTTTCCAAAAATTATGTTAATATATAAGTTGAAAAGGTGGGGTGTTTTTTTACATTATCTATCACTTTTGACAAGTATATTGATACTGTGATAAAACTCCCAAATACAGTTTGATTAGTTTGTCTATCATATCTTTGTTTTTCTACGAAGCTCTCTGATGTTTCAGAAGGATCATTTTAATGTCTTATTTCTCTTGATGTTCTTAGATAAAGTTACATTAATTTAATAGATACCTTGTGTCAAAGAATTACATTGTAATTAACTTGAGAAGTCTAACTTCAGTAGTGTGAAAATTAGCAAGAACCCATATAGTTTGATCCAGTTTAATATTTGCTATACTACCATTACTCTCTAAGGATGTCTTAAGTCTGGATTTATCAACTCTTTTCTCCACTTCTCCACTGTAGGATTACAACCAATACTGTGTGGTAGAAGAAGCCTATCAAAAAAGTGATATTCTAGAACAGTCATCACAAGGAACAATGTGCTTAGTACCTGGAAAAACAAGGAAGTTCACTTTCAAATTTGTTGCAAAACCTGAAGATGTAGGAAAGAAGATTGAGGTTGGTCAATTTGTTTTGCACCTTTCTTACTCATGCTTACAGAGAACTCAAAACTGCAAAGTTGTCTCTCATCTGGCACCAGTTACTAATGCCACTGCAGTTCTAAATGTTTGAATTCCTGAAACTGAATACAAAAAATTAGAGTAAATTTTATTGACAATACCAAACCAAAAAATTATCACAAACTTAAGTATTGCTTCAAGTTTGTTTGTCTGTTTAAATATGTGTAATACGTTAAAAAAACAAAAAAGTCATGGGGAGGAGTGCTATAGCACTATGGGATGGTAGGAAACTACAAAATACTACCCTGCACACATGAGAGCATAGATACTTTTCCTTCCACTGTTTTGTTAAATGAAATCCTGGAGTAGTGAGGTGTATTCAGTCTGCAAAGCTGCCAGAAGTTTTTGGTGATATACAGGCATAATAAAGATGTGTGTGTTGGAAAACTATGTCCTCAGATCACCTATTGTAAGAATACAGTTATTGGTATGTGTTTGAATTTGTGTCTGTCAGATCACCTCTGTGGATTTGATCCTGGGAAGTGAATCTGGCCGATGTGTGATTCTGAACTGGCGTGGAGGAGGTGGAGATGCTGCTTCATCTCAAGAAACACTGCAGGCAGCACGTTCCTTCAGGCGAAGACCTAAGCTTCCAGATAATGAAGTGCACTGGGACAGTTTGACTATTCAGGCAAGCACTATGTGAGTAAAAGCTTAAAAATACGTATGAAGTATCACTGTGAGTCTCCTGTGAAGTACTGATCACTTTGCTTGAAGAAGAAAGACTTGTTGGGACTTCTTTAATATGAGCTTTTTTAATACATCTTTGCTTAACTGAGGATAAATGCTATCTTAAATCTTTATAACTTTTGAGGCTTCAGATAGCTAGAAGTACGGAAAAAGCTGGCATTAATCTCTGAGTGTACCAGCTGTGCTTTTGTTCTCACCTTCACCGAACTTTGCTCAGCAGACGTTTCCCAGGTTTTTCTACAGACTAGGTAGTGTTATTCCCTTACAAAAGCCATCACACAAACAAAGAATGTCTAAGAAACTGCATTGGAAAATAATAATTAATGAATAGGCTAATGCTAAGTTAGATGTATTCAAAAGAATTAAATCTGATTGCTGTTGGTGAGGGTGTTTTTTTTTTTTTTTTTTTTTTTTTCTCTCCTTTCTTTCCTGGCAGAACATCTGAACTGTTAATGCTTATTAGTGGGGTTCCAAACTGGTTTTATACAGTTCTTCCCATCATGTTGCTTTCTGGGAATGTCATGTCTTCTAGTTGAATAGGTCACCAGTTGTCAGAACTCCCTTAAACAGTAGACTATTTTAATCTCTTTTAAACTAGGCTTAAAAACTTGTTATTTAAAAAACATACAATAACCAAGTTTTTTCTCTTAAAGGATTATTTCTAGAGTGCCAAACATTTCTGTTCAACTCCGTCATGAACCTCCTGCACTGACTAATGAAATGTATTGTTTGATTGTGACAGTTCAGTCACATGAGAAGACAGTGGCCAAAGATGTTAAGCTTACAGCAGGTTTAAAGCCAGGTATTTGGGGTTATTTTCTTTTAATCTAACAGTCTCCTAATTGATTCCTTGTTCTTAATGCAATGCAGAGAAGCAGTAATTAAGAGTCAAACCAAAATGAAAGTTGGGAATGACGAGATACTAGTGGTAAGAACAAGAGCTTACAGACTCATTCGGTTATGGTTATCTTAACCACTGCTTGTCAGCAGTGTTTATTTTCAAAAGATAAGTCTTTACAAGTGTGGAAGAAAACATAGAAGTTTTTTGTATTCCTTCCTAACCTTTTATTTAATTTACTCACTTATAACTAATTTTTTCTTTTCCCAAGAGGTAGATCTTTTTCTTGCTGAGGTGAAAGCATTAGACAGTGCTTTCTAAGTATAGTCTTTGTGGGTTTTCTCCCCCCACCCACTCCTGGTTTTTTTCCCCCACCATGGACAATGTGGTTTGGTTTTTAAAGCACTTGAAATTTAAGAAGTGATAGTGAACTGAGACAGTATTCCTTCAACTGAAAAGGAAAAAATGCAAATATTGTATGGTTAAGTCCTAGTTATTGCTATATTGCTATATAGTCCTAGTATGTAGTTATTGCTGACACTTTTCAATATATAGTTGGTATGCCTATTTGTAGCAATTATCCTAAAAGGTAAAAATAATTTCTAAGTCACTAGCACATAGGATGCAATATGTGCTGTGTACTCTGAAATAGAACCGCATTCCCTATATGGTTCATTAAAGTCAGTGGAGTGTTCTTTAAGCTTATTTAATTAGATGTTTGGGCTTGACTCCTAAAGCAGTGTTTAATAGTCAGTCTTCATTTCTCCCTTTCCCCTGCCCTTGATCTTGACTCTTAACATGTGATATGCAAGGTCAATGTGAGCTTCCTGATTACATTAAAAGAACAACTGAAATGTGACATTTCTTTTGTAGGTAAGGTGATATATTTTTCCCCAGTTGCAACCCTTTGGCAAGATGTGGCTTGTTTTGCTTTGAAAATTAGCCCATAATTGCAGTAATGCCATTATTCTAGTCAACAGCTGACTGAAGAATGGTATCATTCAACATCTATACATTTCGATTTTTTTTCTTAATGTATTTTCAACACGGATTTGGAAGAACAGTTTTTTTAAAAATGTAAAATCATTAAGCCATGCTCTTGAAAACAAAAGAATCACAGAATTGTGAAACTTGTGTTTTACTTTGTATAAAATACCAAGAAAAACTTTGATCACATAATCATGTTGTGGTTTTGTAGGTGGTAGGGAACATCTAGATATGATTTCTGATTCTTGAGATTTTATTTTTTTTCCTGGCCTAAACAGATGAAGCAACAACCTTGCAGGATATGATCCCTCCAAGTCAGGTGTTGTCAAATCTATCCTCTGCTGGTACTTTTGAAAGCTTACCTCAACCAAATGAACAACATTAATACCTTGAGTATCTTGGAATTTTTAGTTATTGCTTTCATGCTTCATTGATATAAGCCTGGGTAGATGTAAAGACTGTTTTTATTCCTAGGCCAAGATGCCAACCTGACTCAGAAAACTCAGGTTACTCTTCATGGAACAGACACGTGTGATGACTCCTTTCCTGCCCTGCTTCCTGATATCCCTGTAGGAGACTTGCAACCAGGGCAAAAGGTGGAGGCTTAAAACCTTCTTTCTATGTGACAGTTAAGAAAACAGGGATCAGCTAATACAAGATTCTCAAATAAGGACCTATATTTAGTTTCAGATATCTGAGAGAATAAATTAAATACTTCTGGCATATTTTACCTATTGTTTACTGTCATCTTATTTCTTTAGCTAGATCCCATTTCAGACTAAATTTGGGAATAAGGTATGTTCTGGGATTGGTGATACAGCTGACAAATAAGATGAGGTTGGTCTCAACTGTTACTTAAATGAACTGCCTAATGGACAGTAGACAGTAGTCAGCAAGTGTGATTCAACATGGTAGAGCATCACATATGCAGGTGTTGCACCAAGCTGAAACTGTGACTAGTAAATTAGAAGTTGGGTGTGTCATATATTACATAGTAATGGCTCTTTTTTCTTGTATTGTTAAGTAACAGACAATCACCAGTAGCAAAGCAACTGGAGCTGTGCTACTCTGATTAAAATCATACACTGCATGATTAAGATCATGCACTGGAGGAGATTCTTTATGGTCAAAATAATATCCATTCTGCTATTGCCCTCTTGGACCAAGTAAGATGACTAACAAATTTTGAACAACTTTAGGCCTAATTAGTGTATTTTAGGTATGGCTTGGCTTATGTTGTCTCCTTTATTTTGCAGCTGGAAAAACCAATATACATTCGTTGTGGAACAGTTGGTGCAAGAATGTTTCTGGTTTATGTTTCTTACTTAATCAACACTGTCGTTGAGGGGAAAGAAATTCTCTGCAAGTGCCACCGGGTAAGATGTAAAGATGCAGCAGTTATTGGAGATACATTCATAAAATACAAGGAATATTCTCAATCTAAAGGCTGTAATTCTAAGTCTCTTAGAAGCATTTCTACTAGATAGAAAAAATGCCAAATCGGCAGTATGGTAGCTCAGTTTAGGGTGAGCAGCTTCATAAGTATAATCATAAGAAAACCTTTCTATATTTGTTCTTAAAAAATAACTACAGATACATATGGCTCTGGACAGGACTTTGTTAAAACAATGATTAAAACTAATTTTACACTAGTAACCTTTGATATCAGTAGCTAGTTCTGAAACTGAATATAACTTTTTCTCCCTCTTCTTCCCACCCCTATACAGGATGAAACTGTAACCATGGAAACAATATTTCCCTTTGATGTTGCAGTCAAATTTGTCTCCACAAAGGTACATGTTTGAAAAGCTGATATTTTGAAATTGCACCACTTTCAATGGTTGCACTCCATTTAGTTAGAAACAGCCAGATCTTGTGTCTGTTTTTGACAGTTTGAGCACTTGGACAGAGTATTTGCAGATAAACCATTTTTACTGATGACAGACATCCTGAGTGCCTCTCCGTGGCCTCTCACTATTGTAACCAGCCAGCTACAGCTGTCAGCTCCCATGACCCCAGTAGATCAACTGGAATCTTATGTGGAGAACGGTAAGTTTTCTTAGATTATGCTCACTATCAGGAGGATACTTTCTGCATAAGTTGAAAATAAGAAAGGGCAACATTTCAAGCAACATTTGTTTATCAAACTAAATAGAAGAAAGCTACTTAATACTGTAGTTGCTCGCCAGAACACAACTTAGACAAGTGTGCGTCACACAAGTTAGCAGTATGCTTCAAAAGTAGTTCTGCACTGGATCAAGTAAATGGACTTGAATGATAGATGGTAACCAAAACTCTGAATATAACAGATGTAAGGGAGCACACTTGAAAGTACTTCTGATATGCAACTTCTTAGATATCCATATGAAAAGAGACTGAATATTTCCAGTATTCATGGACTACATATACTTTCTAGAATGCAAACACTTTACCATGTGATAGAGGCATCATCCAAAGTCTAAAGTGATCCATGTGCATGATTGCAGCCATGAAGCTCAAAAATGTGAAGCTAGTCAGGGTAGGCTATAAAGAACAGTTAGAAATAAACATCTGCTAACACAATTTAATAACTTATCTGTAAGATTATTTTTTTTTACATTTAACTGATCTCAGCCTTTAAGAGTTGAGTGTGTTAGCTTTAAAGCAATATAAATGGAGTACTTAGCAGTAGAGCTGATCCAGAATCTTCCAACAAGACATTGTCTCTGCATTTGCTGAGTCATGTGAAAATGTGTGTATTCTATCAAAACTTGGAATAAAATGAGGCGGTCTGGATTGCAGCCTGATTGTGGGGCAGCTGTCTACCCATGTAATAAAGGACTTGCAAGACTGTAGTTCCTCTTGTAGATTCAAAGGTTACTTGGCAAAAAGCAATTATTTCCCAGATCCTTTTGTCTTCAAACTATGAGATTTCATCTTTAACTCTGGCACCTTGTGTTTCGTGGCTTCTAGCTGATGCTCCTAAAGAGCTAACTGCCAGGAGGCGTGAACCCCCTCAGATACCAGCTGTTCAGCTGTCCGCCTTTGGGTTGATTTTTATTTAATTTTTTCCTTGTAAGACTTAAGTGTTTCAATAAATATTAATTATTATTTTGAATGATTATTAGTACTTTTTAAAAAACCCACTCCAAATGAAAAGGCACTACTTTTTAGTTCATTGAGGGTGGGAGGGAAGTGGGGAAAAAAAAGTGAAAACTGAAAGCCAGTAGATTTTTCTTGTGTTCCCTCTCTTTTCCACTTGTCATCCATTTGAGTGGAAGAGGAGAAATGTCTATGTTCATTTTCATTTTAAAACATGAGAGACATTTGTGCTTATGTCTTGGAATTTGCTGTGGGAGAAGTGTAAAATTTGAATTGCTATTATTTTGTGCTTTTTTGTGCATGAACTCTAAATTTACAATGACTTGTTCTGTGTATACATGAAAGATCTCATAATGCTGTTCAAAAAGTAAACTGCCAGATACTTGTATATGTCACCCTTTTATATACTAGGATGCTTCACAATCTTTATTGTATAGTTTGCAGAGCACTTCAAAAGCCTTTCTGCCTGAATACTGGTGTTAGTGTCATATTGGATTTTTAGACTAGGTGGCTTCTGCAGGAATGATTACACTTTGATATTAAACAAAATCTTGCTGATAGTTGTTTTACAGACAGGTGAGAGTGCCAGTGAGTGCTTTTGCCTTCGATGTCCTCCAATTACTAATGCTAGCGGAGTGGCAACTGGATGTTATATCATTTCCTGGAAGAGGTAAGTATCTCTTGGCCTGGATGGTGAGAGGAAATAAGCTGACTTGTTTTTAGGGATGTTGATGAGTTGGGTTTTTTTTGGGGGGACTGTGAGGGGATGTTGACTTTTTTTAGTTTTGCATCTTCCTGTAGCAAGCACTGTCTAGACTTTGGACCTTACTAATTCTTGCTTAGCTTGTTAGACTTTTCAATAAATATATATTCCACTTAAGAGATAAATATTATGTGGTTATGGTTTTAACATTCTATGAAGCTGTCTTTGTAAGATCTGTTGTCAATTAGAGAGCTGTTTTGTCACCTTCTACTCCCTGTTTTCTTCAGTCATGAAATACTTCACTTGAGAAGCCAAGTCAAAGGAATAGTTTTGTGATGGAAACAAACTTTTAAAATGGGAAAACAAACTGTTTTCAAGACAAATGTTGAGATATATCTTTCTTCTAGTTTGCTTTTATTTAGTTTTAGAGCTGTTTAGTGTTCTCACTCGCCTTTGCTATTTTATCTCTACAGCACTTCTTTTGCTCACTTCAAACAATCCAATGTAAGGATTTAGGATTTCTTTCCATGACTGAAATGACTATATAATTTTAGTTCAGTCACATATAAGTGATGTTTTTTTGATGTATTCACTTGATACTTTGTTGTTTAACTTTCCATGTGATCTCTGTTTTACTTTTTCCTGTAGAAGTTCACCTGTGGAAAGTGTACCTGTTGTTAATACAGTCATCACTCTACCACATGTGATTGTAGAAAGCATTCCTCTCCATGTTAATGCAGGTAATATTAATTTGGCAACATATATGTCCCTGTTAAAGTTTTTGGTTTTTTAGAACTGCCAAAGTTTTACAGCATCCAGAGCTTGCATTTACCATAGCAAAAGACAGCAAACTGGTGCTGGATATTATGGAGCTAGTGAAAGAAACTGCATAATCACTTAGACTGCCTCGTCTTGTCCCTCTTTACCCTCTTCAACTTGAGGGAAGACTGGAAGGTAGTTACATTAATGCATTCTCTTAAAAGCTGTCAATAGATCAACCTGTGTTATGTGGCAGCACAGAGACCAGAGTTATTTCTGCTGATGCTACATTCCCAGTAGGTTTCTCTAGACACCTATGGCAAGAATTGTTCCATCTGCCCATGACTTGGCTGCATCTTAGGAAAGAAACAGTCTGGAGAATTGGAGCTGCTTGCGGGCAGGTGAACTGTTTCTTTTCTAGCACTTCATCTGCACAAGAGCAGAGGGGGAGTGGAGAGCTCGGTGAATGCACAGGATTCCTGTGCTTTCCTCCGTTCATGTTCATTTGTACTGAGACTCTTCCACCATCTTTTCCTCTTATATTTTGAAGGAGCTTCCTGACAGTATCTGACAAGATTTTTGTAAGCTGAAAATGCTCAGCAGAAACCAAAGTGATTTCCTAACTAGCATTCCTGGGCAGTGTTAGCAGTTAGGTTTTGTACCTAGATGTTGAAGACGTGTAATTGAAAAGTTGTAATAAATTTCTTTTAATCTTTTTCTGAAAAAACTTGTCAGAAAGTCTTTAGATGTCTGGTTATTGTATTTTCAAACTTTTCACTGCTCTTTGCAATAGACTTTGAGATGGAACTTTAAAATGTATTTTGTATTTGAGATTACTTTTTTTTCTAAAGATCTGCCATCGTTTGGTCGAGTTCGAGAATCCCTACCTGTCAGATATCACCTGGAAAATAAGACCAACTTAGTCCAGGATGTGGAGGTGTCAATGGAACCCAGTGATGCCTTCATGTTCTCTGGCCTTAAACAGGTAAAAATTTCTCACATCTTCTGATCCTGCTGGCTTATCTGGTAGGGAATAATACGTTGATTAGACTTAGATGTGCAGAGAGGACAAACTCATTGGTTTTTAGATGTTTAAAGTATGTTAAAATCTGTCTGGAAGAACACATGGATTCAGGCTCCATTCAAGGAAGGGCTAAATGGAAGCCTGACTAGGAGCGGTTTGTCATATTGTTTAGGGGTAACATGGTGTTTCAGTGTAGAAGAAATAGTTTAACAAGAATGGGAAAGTAATATAACATAATCACAGAATCATCTAGGTTGGAAAAGACCTTGAAGATCATCCAGTCCAACCATTAACCTAACACTGACAGTTCCCAACTACACCATATCCCTCAGCGCTATGTCAACGTGACTCTTAAGCACCTCCAGGGATGGAGACTCCACCACCTCCCTGGGCAGCCCATTCCATTGCCTAACAACCCGTTCTGTAAAGAAATACTTCCTAATATCCAGTCTAAACCTTCCCTGGTGCAACTTGAGGCCATTACCTCTTGTCCTGTCGCTACAGTTTGGTTAAAGAGACTCATCCCCAGCTCTCTGCAACCTCCTTTCAGGGAGCTGTAGAGGGCGATGAGGTCTCCCCTCAGCCTCCTCTTCTCCAGACTAAACACCCCCAGTTCCCTCAGCCACTCCCCGTACGACCTGTGCTCTAGACCCTGCACCAGCTTCGTTGCCCTTCTCTGGACACGCTCGAGTCACTCAATGTCCTTTTTGTAGTGAGGGGCCCAAAACTGAACACAGGAATCGAGGTGCGGCCTCACCAGTGCCGAGTACAGGGGTCAGATCCCCTCCCTGTCCCTGCTGGCCATGCTATTGCTGACACAAGCCAGGATGCCATTGGCCTTCTTGGCCCCCTGGGCACACTGCTGGCTCCTGTTCAGCCGGCTGTCAATCAGCACCCCAGGCCCCTCTCTGACTGGCAGCTCTCCAGCCATTCTTCCCCAAGCCTGTAGCGCTGCTGGGGGTTGTTGTGGCCCAAGGGCAGCCCCCGGCATTTGGCCTTGTTGAAACTCCTCCAGTTGGCCTCAGCCCATGGCTCCAGCCTGTCCAGGTCTCTCTGCAGAGCCTCCCTACCCTCGAGCAGATCAACACTCCCACCCAACTGGGTGTCATCTGCAAACTGACTGAGGGTGCACTCGATCCCCTCGTCTAGATCATCAATAAATATGTTAAACAGGAGTGGCCCCAAAACCGAGCCCTGGGGGACACCACTCATGACCGGCCGCCAACTGGATTTAACTCCATTCACCACAATTCTTTGGGCCCCGCCATCCAGCCAGTTTTTTACCCAGCAAAGCATGTGCCCATCCAAGCCATGGGCAGCCAGTTTCACCAGGAGAATGCTGTGGGAAACAGTATAAAAGGCCTTGCTAAAGTCAAGGTAAACAACATCCACAGCCTTTCCCTCATCCAATAAGCAGGTTGCCTTTTTGTAGAAGGAGATCAGGTTTGTCAGGCAGGACCTACCTTTCATAAACCCATGCTGACTGGGCCTGATCCCCTGGTTGTCCGTTATATGTTTTTTAATGGCACCTGAGATGACCTGCTCCATCACCTTCCCTGGAACTGAGGTTAGACTGACAGGTCTGTAGTTTCCTGGATTGTCTTTTCTTGTAGATGGGTTTCACGTTTGCCACCCTCCAGCCCAATGGCACCTCCCCAGTTAGCCATGACTTCAGGTGAATCATGGACAGCGGCTTGGCGAGCACATCTGCCAACTCTTTCAGCACCCTTGGGTGTAACCCATCTGGTCCCACAGACCTGTGTGCATCCAAGTGGTGCAGCAGGTCTCTGACCACCTCCTCTTCAACTGTGCTGACCTCAGTCTGCTTCCCCTCCCCATCTCCCAGCTCCTGAGGCTGGATGTGCAGGGAACAGCCAGTTCCACTGCTAAAGACTGAGGCAAAGAGGCGTTGAGCACCTCATTTTCAAACTTTTCCTCATCCTTAGTTACCATGTTTCCCTCTGCATCCAGTAAGGGAGGGAGATTTTCTCTAATCCTCCTTTTGCTGTTAACAAATTTATAGAAACATTTTTTTGTTATCCTTAACAGTTGTAGCCAGGTTGAGCTCTAGCTGCGCTTTGGCTCTCCTAATGTTCTCCCTGCACAGCTTCACTACATCTTTACAGTCTTCATGAGAGACCTGGCCCTTCTTCCAAAGGCAGTAGATTCTCCTTTTGTTCTTGAGATCCAGCCAAAGGTCCCTGTTTAGCCAGGCCAGTCTCCTTCCCCGCCTGCTTGTTTTCCGGCACACGGTCACAGCCTGCTCCTGTGCCTTCAAGACTTTTCTCTTGAAGTATGTCCAGCCTTCCTGGACTGCCATTTCCTTCAGGGCAGCCTCCCAAGGGATTTTGTTAATCAGTCTTTTGAACAGGTCAGAGTTAGCCCTGTGGAAGTCTAAGGTGGCAGTTTTACTAACCCCTCTCTTGGAATTTTCAATCCTTCGAGAAACAATCATCTCATGATCACTGCACCTAGATGGCCTCCAGCCTTTACTTCCTCCACAAGCTCTTCCCTGTTCACAAGAAGCAGGTCCAGGAGGGCACCTTCCCTGGTCGGTTCACTCACCAGCTGTGTGAGGAAGTTATCCTCCACACATTCCAGGAATGTCCTGGATTTTTCTCTCTGCTGTGTTGTGTTCCCAGCAGATATTGAGGAGGTTAAAGTCCCCCACAAGAGCAACAGCAAGTGACCATGAGATTTCTCCCAACTGCTTGTAGAAAGCTTCATCCACCTCACTGCTTTGGTTGGGGGATCTAAAGCAGACTCCCACAGCAAGATCTGCTTTATTGGCCCTTAAATTGGACCCTTTATTGGTCCAAACACTCTCAACCCTGCTATTGCTATACTTGATTTCTGAGCTGTCATATCATTCTCTTACATACAGGGCCACTCCACCACCTCTCCTTCCCTGTCTATCCCTCCTGAAGAGTTCGTAGCATCTATTGCAGCACTCCAGTCGTGTGAGGCATCCCACCACATTTTTGTTATAGCTACTATGTCATAGTTCTCATGCTGCATCACAGCCTCAAGCTCCCCCTGTTGCTCATACTGCGTGCATTGGTATTGATGCACTTGAGGTGAGCTAGTGAATCCCAACACCTTTTTGTGAGCGTGGGCCCCATCCCCTACCAGACACTTCTCAGGTGCTTCCATAGTTCCTAAACATCTTTCCCTTCTCTCAAATGAAGTGGCAGAATAAGAGCTCTCACCAGTCCACCATCCTTCAAGCCTTGGCATGCTTCCCTTGAGGTTGTTCCTGACATGCCCAGTTCTCTCCCTATCCCCCCTCATATCTAGTTTAAAGCCCTGTCAATAAGCCCTGCTAACTCCTGCCCCAGAATCCTTTTCCCCCTCTGGGACAGCTGCATCCCACCTGTCGCATTTGTTGCCAGCAGACCAGGTGCCTTATAAACCTTGCCATGGTCAAAGAACCCAAAATTCCGACGGTGGCACCAGTCTGAGCCATGTGTTAATCAGATGTGCTTTCCACCCTATCAGTGGTTTTCCTTTCCACTTGAGAGACTGATGAAAACATGACCTGAGTTCCAAGCCTTCGATTAGCAAATTCAATTAGTAGTTGTATTCTTTCCAACTTCAGAAAGTAAACAGTGTATAAATGGAAAGTAAACAGAGGACTACGTTTGGTCATAGAACTTAACTGTATTTGTGGCTTTTTTATATTCTTTAAGGTCCGATTAAGAATCCTTCCTGGCACACAGCAGGAAATGTTGTATAACTTCTATCCTCTGATGGCTGGATATCAGCAGTTACCATCTCTTCATGTTAACTTGCTGCGATTCCCAAACTTCACCATTGAGTTGCTCAGACGATTCATACCGACACACGTTTTTGTAAAGGTAAGACTATGGGAAGGGCCTAGTGTTTAAAGGTTCCCTGTGGGGCTGCTCAGTTTCTAGGGTCTACCACTGCAGCTCTATTCAAATGTGAGTGTTTCTAAGTGGACTCAAATGGCCATCTTGTAACAGAGTTAACTTGCTTTGAAAAATCTTGGGTTGTGCACTGGTGTTGTCAAAATCCTTAAGAAATTGTTTAAGTGCAACAGGTATTTAGTTACTGTTAGACAAATTAGCTGAATGTGCTTAGCCTGTCCCTTTTACTCCATGTCTTTACTCTGTAAAGTGAGTTTTAAAGTTATCTGTATTTTGACCACAAGGGAGTGAGCTAAATGTAATTAAAGACTTTATACCATAATTTGTAGCACTTTTGAAAAGAAGTGTTTGAGCAACCCATATAACTATGTTCAGAAACACTGTAGCATCCCACAACTCCCTAAAGAAATTCTAAAGCCACATCCTTTTAGTGAATTGGTCAGTCCAGATATTTTTTTAATAGGTATGACTGAAGACAATTCAATCATATAGTGAAAAATACTTCACAGGCCCCTTTTGACTTTTTAAGAATCATTTCAATCCAGTTGCCCAAAACAATGCTTTCCCATTCCACTGCTGCTGTCTCCAGCATATTGTGTTCACTTTTTAGTCAGACTCTTAGCAAGCAAGAAGCCTGAAGAGTTTGTTTATATGACTTGAAATAGACTTGTTCAGACATCTGTAATTCTGTTTCCAGGAAACAGGCCTGGCATTCTCTCAATTTTGTTTTAGCCAAAAGAGATAGGCAGAATTTACTTTTTGCATATGCTGTCAATCAGTGGCTCTTCTAGATTGCTTGTCAAGATGTTCTCCTAAGTCAGTACAAAAGGCTTTTTTCCTCAAAAGCATGGTATTCTAAATGCTCCTGTGGAATCTCTCAGGCTTCAGAATTCTTTGCTTTTGCTTTGGAGTTGTCAGGACCTCAAAAAACCTTATTGTAAGGATGCCTTTCTTTAAAACTTCCTTCTTACTCTCTTCCACATCTAGTGATTCTGCTTAAAATTTCTCCAAGAAACTGTCAGTCTCATTCCTGTTTTATGCATTGATAATTATCAGCTTTTCAAACTGCAGTAATACTTGGAACTCCGATCAGCCAGGCCTTGTGTTAGACTGTCCAAATGTGTACAGAGATGCTCTTGGCATTTAATTGGGCAGGTAAGGAGCTGAGGCCTCTACCAAGTGCTCATTGGGCCAAACTGAAACTTCAGTTAGATGTCCTCTGTGTGTGTGCTACTATTGGAAGCCATTAGGAATAAAGATAAGCTTAATCTTACGCTTCTGTACCAGAGCTACTTTGATCAACACAATGTATTGCAAAGTGAGGTTTATAACAGCCTTAGTCTTTTATGTGTGTGAGGTGGTGTTTTGGGTTTTTTTAATTGTCTGTCTTCTTAAAGCCTCAGGGTCGTCAAGCAGATGATAACTCAATTGCACCTGAATAACTGAGACCTGTACCTCTGCACTTAAAGAAAATGGGATGTTGCACAGAGTATGTAAAGCTCACTTTGGAAACATGGCTTTGATCAAACCATAAGAATTAAATTTTATTTTTCAATTACAACTCTCAGCAAACTAATGTTTTAGAAAACCTTAGTCTTTCACAGACTTTCTTTAAGGAATAAACGTATGGGGAAAACTTGGTGCTTTATTTAACAGGAATATTCTTTTGAAGTTAACTTTGAATGTCAAACTCTTAAAAGTATTATTAAGGCATATAAATGGCTTGAGTATTTAAGTGAAGAAATGCTGATTCATGTGACCAAAACCAAAATTTTCTTAATTAACCGTAAGCTGAAGTGCAAAGGTTGTACTTAACCAAGATTTAAAACATTGAAAATGACTATCATTTACAGGAGTTTGTTCTATGCCATTTGCATTGAGGGCAGAACAGGGTGTGCAGTAGCACAGTAAACTACAAATGGTTATGCTGTACTGTTGGAATTGAGTGGTTTACTAGTTCTTTAAAAGCATAAATCTAAAAGGCACTATTTCTCCTATGTAAGCCATACATCCAAATTTGAATTCAGCATCTAGCCTAATGAACAGAGAGATTAATTCATTGCAGTTGGATTATTCAACCTAAAGCTGATACATGGTTTTGAATTACTCTTACACACACAGCTTCCAGATTAAAGATATGTCTTAGTAGTCTCCTGCTGTGTGAAGTTAAGGAATGGACATCCTACTGTTGTACAGCTCTGGATGAACTGGTGTTTAAAATACAGTAAACCCTGTATATATAAAAATGCATTGTGAAAACCTCAGTTGTTTAACTTTCTAAATAATTGCATTTTGATTGTTTGGGAAATACCTTTATTGTTAAAGTGAAGTTCTAATAAACAGCTTGTAACAGAGTACTTCTGAAACTGTGTCCTTAATTGCATTATTTTCACAGCTGTTGTTTCATTACTCTGGTCTGTCCTGCAGGCTGATAGGTTCATTATGGCACTGAAGTCCAAAATAACAGCTGTAATACTTGGAGAGAAGCATTAGAGAAGCATGTAAACATTCCTTACCAGTGAAAGGACTGTAGGCTAAATGGCAGTCCTGAAAAAATATGCATGAGTATATACAGCTTTTCCATGGAGTGTAGATATAGTCATATTATGAAATTTGTTCAGTGTATAGTAGGGGAAGAGATGACGGCTGACAAATCATGCTGGGAAGAACAAATGAAACCTTCCTTATTCCTTGCTTAAATATCATGAACTAAGGTGGCAGTCATGGAATAAGTGTCTTATCTTTTTTTTTTTTTTTTTTTTTTTTTTTTTCTTTAAGTGGAAAATGCATTTCATTTCCAGATTTTTTTTTTTTCCTTCTTCTAAGTAGCCACTCAGATTACAGCAGCTCTGGCACCTCTGCTCCTGCTTCTTAAAAGACATGTTGATGCAAGTGGTGTAAGTGTTCAGTGGAGAACTGGGGTGCCTTTTTTCCTCCCCTGAAACAGTCTAACAGCAAAATAGTGATTTGCATTCCTTTGAGAAAGGGGATGGCATAAAATGCTTTCATGGTTACAATGATATTAAAGTCTTAAGTGAATTGTGTAAATATGTTTCTACTTAAAATGGTGAATAGTAAAAGTAGGAACTATATAAAAATAGTACAGAAATACAGAAATGCAAACTTAATTTCACACCATGGAAAAAGAAAAATTGCTTGCTACTTTGCCATAGTTGGAATTTCTATTCTTTTTTTCATTTGCAAAGAGAATCTTTTCTTGTTCTGTGTGATCTTATTGTAGCTGTAAACACTACAAAGCAAAGATTTTTGTCTTAGTTGTCTGTAAAGTGCTAGGCACACCTTTTATGCTATGTAAATGACTGATGTGAATGAAAACATGCAGCAAGCAGGAACCACCTTGTTAAAAATGCTTGAGAAGTGATTAATGATGACTATCTTCCTGACTCATAAGACTCTAATGCTGAGGGGAATGTTTGTGATTCATAAACCAAATCCCTTTGGAAGTCTTGAGGAGATACACTGAAATATATATGCCCTTTTTAAGTACAGTTTTTTTATCGTTTACTGTATTTTGATGAGCACCATTCAAACTTCAACATATACTACTTAAACATAGTCTGTTTTAATTGAAACTAATTAAGCATCAAAGAAAATAGAAACTACTTTTAGACTAGTTTAAAAATAGCTTTCAGGGAAAAAAGTTTGAGATCAACATGTTCAGACTGCTAATGAGCTGGAGGCTGAGCCCTAGCAGTATTGTTTCCTCCCCTTTTATACTACCAGGTGTGTGAGAGGGGAGGAACATGTCCCATCCCCTCAAGATCTCCTGGCCTACACTGAAGTCTGGAGCAAAGAAAGATACTCTAAATAATTTCTTCATTGCTTGTGACCACTAAACTCTAGTTATAAGTAGTTCAGGAGAAGTGAAGGATTAAAAGAAAGGTTTTTTTATCCTAATCAGTTCTTAACATCTTGCATGATGTCTTCTTAGATCATTAATTTATACAGGGGTTTTGGAGGTTCTGCCAGCTTTCTTTTTTTTGCATGTCCTAGCAAACATGATGCTTCTGTGCTTTCTCTGCCTTTACTTGGGAAATTGGAAGTCTCTAGGTAGGAATACTTCCACCTTATCAGTCACATTGAATGGTTAGAGGTTGCCATGTGTAGAGTATGAAGAAGAAAAAAACATATCAAAAGCACCTCATTCCTTAAACCTGCTCTGTTACTCCTTTTTTCCAAGAAACAATGAGCTCCTGCTCCTTCATGTCTTTTCAGTGAAGAAGTTAGTCTAAAGGAGAGCAACAGTGAATGTGGGTATCCTAGCCCAACCTACCTTCCCAGTCCTACTCCAGGGATGCTTTTGACAAGAGACTGATAGTGCTGATAGTAGTAGTCTCTGCTCTATTCCAAGGACTAAACATTTCACCTGATTAACCAAAGTGGAGAATGGAGACCTGTGCAGGACTTGTGACTAAGTGTGTTCAGCTTTCTCAAATTCTGGATAGTTACACAGATTGCATAAGAGGATAGATAAGAGGAAAAAAAGTTTCAGCTGCTTTGAGGCTTCTGGTAAAGTAAATCCTAGTATTTTTTCAGGTGGTTGTTATGGGGGTTTCGGTTTTGGTTTTGTTTTTTGTTGGGGTTTTTTTTTAAATGAGGTGTGAGCAAACCCCAAGGAAGTGTTAAGTGCACCTGTGACCTGTTTAATCCTGGTAAACTCAAGGGCTAGTATCCTGGGCTACACTTCTGTGTGGTCTCCAAAAACAATTGGTGACTTCAGATAATATCAATACACACTGGTCCTGAAATATGCAAACTGGTCAAAACTTATCCCAGGTGTTCTGCTCTGCTTCTGAGATGTCATCTCTCTCTACTGGCAAGGGTGCCATCCTGGTGGAACGTGACTGCTCTTCCTCTGCTGGCGGAGGGGGGTCAGCAGGAGTGAGGTCCACACTTCTCAAGAAAATCACTCGAAGGTTCCCTTCAAACCCAGGCAGCGTGCTTTCTTGCTCGCTTACCTGTGTAGATAGGTAGTACTTGCTTCCAGAGATCACTGTGACCTTCTGTTTGATCTCATTTATACTGTTGTATTTCCTGATATATTTTTTTCCTCAAAAGTTCTGCAAGCTTTCTCCAGAATGAGCTCTGATTTTCACAATTAGTCAGGCAACTAATTTGTCTGCTGCCTTTCCTGGATCCAAGAACTCTATGGCTAAATGTCCTTTGCACCTTGGATGCCAGACATGTCTTAGCTTTCTGCTTGTTCTGGGCAAAGCATACCTGGGAAAACCTTTATTTTGTTCCTACTGCAGATTGCATTGAGACCTGCTGTGAGATTGTACCTGTGCATTTCTGTGATAAAAGCCTGCTCTGAGAGAGCTCCCTCAGTCTCTGGACTAGGAGGGAATACTGCTTGGCATTGCCCTGCATGGAAATGTGTTTATAGGTACTCTCCTGCTGTGGAAGTACCTAGGCACGGTGCAGGACTTGGAGAAGTTTCCAGTCTTAATGTAGCTCTGAGACTTGGCTTTGTTTCCTCTGCAGAGACCAGTGGAGACCGTTCAGTGTCCCCTGCAGCATGACCAGGCATAGGGACAACAGCTCACAGGAGAAAGGATGGTTACCTATCAATTAACTGTGGCTTCTTCATGGTGTGTAACTTGTGTGCATGATCACATACATGGGCATGTGAAAGATGGTAGCTCGTTCTTTCTCCTGTATTTTGAAGTCCTTCTGGGAGAAAGCAATTCTGACCCTTCTAGACAATTCATCTAAAAGAACTCTGTTCCTTTTTTTATCCAGTTTCTGAACTACCTCTTCTCTCGCACGCCAAGGGCTGTCATCCAGAGCTGGGAAAGCCTCCCACCTTGGTGGACACATATCTTAAAGCCCCTCAGGTTAGAAGTAACCAATCTTCCTCACCTTTTACTGCAGAAGGCTTCACGTTTGTTGTCTTGTTGCCAGTGGAACTTCAACGTTTCACAGGGCAGCATGTCACATTAGGGTAGACCTGAGCATGATAAGCTAAATGAAAGAGAATAAGCTTGACTAATCTTGTTTGTCCTTTGTCTTTGCAAGCCTTACAGAAACAGTTTTAATTTGGGGGGAGGTGAGGAAGGAGCATATGTTGCAAATACTAATGGGAACAAGTCAGATTTTAAGAAAGCAAGACTCTACATTTCTCAGCGTTGTCATTTTTCTTACTTCCAGAGAGATGTCAAGTGCTGGATAACTAAACCCAGGCATTTATATATTTAAATAAATATTTTGGGCATTTAAAAATTCTATTTAAGACAGTAGAAATTCCCTCACCTGAACAGAATGTAAATATTTTATTCTAGCTTTTTCAATAAAATTATGTCAAATTTCCTTGCCAGATCTCTAGATAATTTGCTGGGAAACATGATATTGTGCAAAGGCAATAAAGTTTATATAGCCATGCTGATAGGATGTGTTGTATCAATGCAAAACTATGTTAAGTATGCATGCTAGTTACTGTAGTCTGAACTTGGTGGTGGGACAGGGAGATCAGGAAGTCAAAAATTTCTCCCTGGAAAGTAAATGTAAACATGTAGCTGTCACTTTTTTGCCTGCATTTAGGAGTTGCTACATAGTATTTGATTCCATTGGGACATTTGAAGCTGACCTTCAGGCTAAGATTTCAGTTATTCTTTCTAAAAGTTTAACTCTTCATCTTCAAACAGTATTTCTACTTTAGAGCATGTACATACTTTCTCCCTGTAAACCATTTTGCATGCAAATATTTAGCTTTTTCTGTCTTATCTGCATGCTTTAGCAATTACTGTGGTTTTTTGAATATTTTAAAGTCATCAAAGGAAAAGCTTGAACTTTTAAAAATATTTGGTTTCCCATACTTGAGTATTTTTTTGACCACCAGTACTTAAATTATTAATTTCCCAAACTATTTTAATAAGTAACTATATGTAATGTGTTGAATGCAGATGGTTCTTATTATGTATATATACATACATGTATATGTACATGCACCTATGTGTGCTAGTGAAATAAATAAATTCCAGTAAAAAAGCAATGAATACCCAAATGAGGATAAAACCCTTTTTATTTCAGTTCCCTGACCTGCACAGAAGATATTCCGTTAGCCTGCTGCATGGGATGAACTTAGCCTGATTTTTCTGCACCATTTGATTTCATGATGCCATATTAGAAATCTTCTTGCCACCTGTTTTTGTGAGTGGTAGGAGTGACTGCTTTGCAGCCTCAGCTGGGGGTATTGAAAGTACCTGCTTCAGCCCTAAACAGTAAGCAAAACCATGGAGATGCTTCACAGCAGTCAGTACACTGTCTCTCCCAGAGTCACCAGCTATAAGCCTGGCGTAAGCATATATGTACACACACACACACGTGTGTGTGTGTGTGTGTGTGTGTGTATATATATATATATATAAACAGACATCCTCTGTTTTGTTATTGACATCAGAGAATCCCACCTTAACATCTCCTGGAAGTTTGGTACCCAGACATATGTGCTCAGTAACAGATTCCCTGTAAGAGCTGTGCTCTCTCAAGACAGTCCACAAGTGACAAAACAAACAGCTGTAATAAATATCAAAACATATATGGTAATCACAGAGGGAAGGAAATTAGAAATGACTTGAAAATATTAGAATTCTTACTATTTGTTTTTTTGTGTGATGGTTTTTCTGTGGGCCAACATTAGGAAGCTAAAACCAAAACAAAGATACTTTAGTCCAGTTTTCAACTATCAGCCTCTTTATAACAAGGAAAGTGTTAATTGTTCTCTACCTGCTACAAAATAACCTGTTTATAAGACGTTTACCTGGCTAGGAGGTTGCAGAGAGGTCAGACGAACATTATCTTTTAATGAAGTGTCTCTCTCAGGGTCACTGCTCCTCCACTGAAGACTTTTATGTAGGTAACATAACAATTGCCTGCATTAGTTTATGACCTTGAAGATACTCATCACTCAGGGTGGATTTGCACTTGAGAAGTTCTTAGTTCAAATATGCTTATAGCCCAGGAATGAAGGGGATGCTGATAAGAATGATTAATGAATTCAGTGAATGAGTTTTTAAGTAGTGAGAGAGTAATGCTCTTATTCCCCTCAGCCAGGTACTGCTGAGTACACAGGATAATTTTAGCAGAAATGTTTTTCTATTTCCTAGGTTAGTTACGTGTCCCTAAGAGGCTGTGCTCTTTGCAGGAGTGACATGATGCTGCTTCACTGACCAGAAAGGAGCTGTGCCTATTTGCACACAGGGGAATCTGGCATGATTCTATTTGTGCCAGGGTTACCCCATGGGATGAAATGTGCACTGCTGAGCAAAGCACGTGGGATTTACCTAGGATTTCATTGCTAGGGGAAAAACCACATCACTTGCAAGCACTATCAGTTAGCCGCTACCCACAATGAAGAAAGGACATAGCATTTTCTATAGGGAAATAGAGATGTACAGGTACAATTAAGCTTCATGTTTCTTACTGTAATGCAAATCATTGTGGTAAACTTTGGCTTGCAATTGCTGTCCTATTTCTAGGTAAATTAATGTGATGTTTGATAAATTTATCCATATGAGATCAACAAATGCTGGTTGTTTGAACTCTGCTGTATGGCCTTAGTGGAAGTAACATGCCTTCTTAGGCTGTAAAACAAATGGCTGTCCCCTGCAAACCAGGATCTGGAACTCCTGGAGTTTTCCCTGCCCCCTACCCAGAGGCTGGAAGGAAGACACTGCTCCTGCCCGCTCAGGAGCAAGCTGCCGGGCACTCCCCAAGCACACGTTCCTGGGGCAGCTACAGCCCATGCTGCAGTTTCTTAAGTATGGTGATTTTTTTTCATGGTAAAAAAGAAAAGGATGGTCTTTTCCACTTTCACTTCACTAAACCTCACAGAAACAACTTTCTAGGAAGCTCTTAGTTCTCTTTGGGTTAATGACACTTGGTAAATACTTGATTAAAACTTCCTTTTCTTGTTTGTAGACTGTCTTTCTCCCAATCGCACTGGTGCACTTGGTCTGCGCTATGGATTTGTGTTGGAAGTCAAGCCAATCTGCAGCCCACAGGCCTAAGGCATGCTCCAGGCTCCCTCTCCATCCCATGCTGATGCTCAGACATTGTACTGAACCTCACCTGTTCTGCTGATAACTTGCAAAATAATGAAATTATGTTTTAGTTATCACATGGCATTTCCAAATCAGCTGGGTATTTTCCTTGCTCTGGCCTTGGAAAGCCAGCTAGCACCAAGAACAGGAACTGGTTGTGTGGTGAACAGGTCCTGCCTGATGAGCTACGCTCTGACTTTGCTGTGTCCTGGAGCCACAGTCTGCATTGCTGTTGGAAGGAGGGGGTGTGCTGCAGGGATGCCTCTCTTATAAAGTCTCCTGAGGGTACATGCACACCAGTGATTGATTTTGTACAGCTATTTCCAGAAAGACAAGCCCACAAAACTTACATAAATCTTGTATTTTTCTGCTTCTCTATCATGTTTAGTTTCTAGTGTGCTCTGAGCTGTTTGCATCGCAGGAGGGAGGTGTAGGGGCTCCTGCAGACAGCACGCACCAGCGACCACAGCTAGGCCACCCTGAACCCTCGCATGGCCTTACATCCCCTGCGGCAGGCGATGTCCCCTGGGGCTTTCCCTGGCAGGGATGAACCTGAGCTCCTCCTCAAGCTAAGCCATGATGAGGTGCGAACGTGAGTGCTGTAGCCTGGAGTGCTGCTGCTGAGGACTGATTGGTGAAGGGGTGAACCAGGTGCTGCTAAAGACTTACCTATGTGTTTTCCTTGCAATCAAGAGGTTGCCATTCAGAGAATGCACATGAGCAAGATACTCTGCCCTACCAGCCCACAGTAAGGCTTCATGCACATCTGGAATATGCTCATACTGCCAAGGCACCCAGCCATGTCCACAGCCCAGTCCAGGGCTGGACACAAGCTCAAAAATGCCTATGGTAGCATATACTGCTGCTCCTTCCCTGGTAGGCATGCTGCCATGGAACCTAGGGGGCATCTGCTGTGCTCCCAAGCAGAAACAGACACCTCTCTCCTAGGTTTGCACAGGGATCAAGTGGAAATAATCACACCTCAGCTCAGCTGAGGCAAAGGAGGACATTACTGTAAAGTAAGAGCAGTAAAATCTTCATAAATCTTCTTAAGCGGTGGATAAAGGACCAGATCTGTTGAAAGATTAATGCAGTGCTATGGGAAAACCTGAATGCTGGGGGCTGCAATTGTTAAACAGTGTGAAAGAAAAACCTGATAGGCCATGGAAAGTGGAAGGCACAAGAGACCCTGAGGTACTGCAGACTGGGAGGAGTGAGGACCACCAGCTGTGAAGTACTGCTGCCTGCTTTGGAGCCTGAAGAAGTCTTGCTCATGGTTTTGACCCCCAGGAAGAGGGATGACCCAGCCATCTCCTCTCTACCCTGGCCTGGCTGCCACCTCCTTCTTCCCCTTCTCCTCTGGCCCTGGAGAAGGGAAAGATGTTGGAATGGAGGCCAAGCTTCAAGGGCCACCTACACCAGCTCTGGTGGAGCAGTGCATCTGCTAGGTCCCTCATCACCCCAACATCTTAAGCTGAATTTCTTCCATCCTTGGTTTCAGTGAGTTCCATGTGCAACCATTCATGCTCTGCTGTCAGCTATACTGTTTTGTGCTTTCAGATTTCCCCTGAGGGTGCCCATGGCTAAGGGTGTGAGGCAAGACACAAGACTCACTGCCAGAGCCCTGTGGGTGCCCACGGACTCCACGCATATTGCTCTGCATGTCAAAAAGATGACAAATTTGAAAACAGAAGTCATGAAGGCTGAGATTAGCAGCAGTCAACCCAACTGCTCCAGATCCCCTCTGTACAGCACTGTCTGGTGGCACCTGCTGAAGTGGGATTGCCACAGCTGCTGGCCAGTCAGAGCAGGGTTACATCCAGCTCTGTTCTCCATGGGGGTCTTTGCAGGCGCACCGCCTCGAGTGTTTCATACAGCAAAGCAGCATGAGCTGAAAAGGAAATGAAGAAACCCTGAAGTTTCCTCCCTCCTCCTCCCTTCCAATAAACTCATGCCTTCTTCATGCCTGTGTCGGTACAAACCACCCAAAGCCATCCACCCTTTGAGAGCAACAGTAGAGCCTCAAAAAGGACGGCAAGGTCAAGTATGGGCTGACCACAGTCTAGAGCTGCAGCATCTCTGAATGTGCTCTTTCAGGATGTGGAAGCAGGAGTACAAAAGCCAGCTGTTTGGTTCTCTAACATGCAGCATTTCCTATAGCAAAGAGAAGGAAAGGCCTAAGTAGGTTTTTTCTAAATCTACCACATACCCTGGCAAAGCTCCTCCCATAAAACCCATGGTAAAAATTACTCATTCCCACCTCTTCCTTGCAAAGAAATTATCTGATTTTTGGCTATTATCATGTAACTCTCTTCTGCACAAATATGAAGCAGCAATGTGTCCATTTTTTATAAACAAACAACCTAATTTCCATGAAAACCAAGACAAAATTAGTTTATAAGAGTCACCTTTACTGCTTTAGCAGGAAATTATGTTTTCTCCTGGGTCTGACACTTACCAATGAAGTAGGCTCAGATTTAGCTGCTGAAATTTGCACCAGCCCAAGAAATAACCCAGGAGAACTCTGACTATTTCCCACTACATCTTACAGCCCTGTTACCAAGCTCTTGAGGTCTTGGTGAACTTTCCATCCGAGCTGACCCTCTGCATCCTGGTGGGGCTGGGATTTCCCCCAGGAGCCATGGTGACTGAGGAC